CTTTCTGCTTGTTCATTGTTATTGTATAGGAAAGCAACAGATTTCTGTGTATTAATTTTGTATCCTGCAACTTTGCTGAATTCAGATATTAGATCTAGTAGTTTTGGAGTGGATTCTTTAGAGTTTTTTATGTACAATATCATGTCATCTGCAAATAGTGACAGTTTGACCTCTTCCTTACCAATCTGGATTCCTTGTATTTCTTTGTGTTGTCTGATTGCCATGGCTAGGACCTCCAGAACTATGTTGAGTAACAGTGGGGAGAGTGGGCATCCCTGTCTTGTTCCCAATCTTAGAGGAAAAGCTTTCAGCTTCTCACTGTTAAGTATGATGTTGGCTGTGGGTTTATCATGTATGGCCTTTATTATGTTGACGTACTTGCCCTGTATGCTCATTTTGTTGAGAGTTTTTATCATGAATAGATGTTGAATTTTGTTGAATGCTTTTTCAGCATCTATGGAGATGATCATATGGTTTTTGTTCTTCTTTTTGTTGATGTGGTGTATGATGTTGATGGATTTTCGAATGTTGTACCATTCTTGCAACCCTGAGATGAACCCCACTTGATCATGGTGTATGATCCTCTTGATGTATTTTTGAATTTTGCTAATATTTTGTTGAGTATTTTTGCATCTACGTTCATCAGGGATATTGGTCTGTAATATTCTTTTTTTGTGGTGTCTTTGCCTGGTTTTGGTACTGGGTGATGCTGGCTTCATAGATTGAGTCTAGAAGTATTCCCTCCTCCTCTATTTTTTGAAAAGTTTAAGGAGAATGGGGACTATGTCTTCTGTGTATGTCGGTCTGATAAAAAAATGCTGTAAATCCGTCTGGCTTGGGGGTTTTTCTCTTGGGTAGTTTTTTGATTACTGCTTCAAATTTGTTGCTAGTAACTAGTCTGTTTAGATTTTCTGTTTCTTGGTCAGTCTTGGAAGGTTGTATTTTTCTAGGAAGTTGTCCATTTCTTCTAGGTTTTCCAGCTTGTTAGCATATAGATTCTCATAGTATTATCTAATGATTCTTTGTATTTCTGTGGGGTCCATCGTGATTTTTCCTTTCTTGTTTCTTACTCTGATTCCTTTGGAGTGAGTGGTGTGTTGAAGTCTCCTAAAATGAATGCACTGCATTCTGTTTCCTCCTTTAATTCTGTTAGTATTTGTTTCACATATGTTGGTGCTCCTGTATTGGGTGCATATATATTTATAATGGTTATATCCTCTTGTTGGAGTGACCACTTATCATTATGTAATGTCCTTCTTTATCTCATGTTACTTTCTTTGTTTTGAAGTCCTTTTTGTCTGATACAAGTACTGCAGCAGTGATTTTTTCTCCCTTTTGTTTGCATGAAATATCTTTTTCCATCCCTTGACCTTTAGTCTGTGTATGCCTTTGGGTTTGAGTTGAGTCTCTTGTAAGCAGCATATAGATGGGTCTTACTCTTTTGTCCATTCTATTACTCTGTGTCTTTTGATTGGTGCATTCAGTCCATTTGCATTTAGGGTGATTATTGAAAGATATGTACTTATTGCCATTGTAGGCTTTAGGTTCGTGGTTACCAAAGGTTCAAGGGTAGCTTCTTTATACTATCTAACCGTCTAACTTAAGTCATGTATTATGCTATTATAAACACAGTCTGATGATTCTTTATTTCTCTCCCTTCTTATTCTTCCTCCTCCATTCTTTATATATTAGTTGTTTTATTCTGTGCTCTTTTGTGTTTCCTTTGACTGCTTTTGTGAGTAGTTGGTTTTATTTTGTGCCTTTAGTTAGTATTTGGTTGGCCTGTTTTCTTTGTTGTGATTCTTTTTTCTCTGGTGAGCTCTATTTAGCCTTAGGAGTGCTTCCATCTAGAGCGGTCCCTTTAAAATATCCTGTAGAGGTGGTTTGTGGGAGGCAAATTCCCTCAACTTTTGCTTGTCTGGGAATTGTTTAATCCCTCCTTCATATTTAAATGATAATCCTGCTGGATACAGTAGCCTTGGTTCAAGGCCCTTCTGTTTCATTGCATTAAATATATCATCCCATTCTCTTCTGGCCTGTAAGGTTTCTATTGAGGAGTCTGATGATAGCCTGATGGATTTTCCTTTGTCGGTGACCTTTTTTCTCTCTCTGGCTGCCTTTAATATTCTGTCCTTGTCCTTAATCTTTGCCATTTTAATTATTATATGTCTTGCTGTTGTCCTCCTTGGGTCCCTTGTGTTGGGAGTTCTCTGGGCTTCCATGGTCTGAGATACTATTTCCTCTCCCAGTTTGGGGAAGTTTTCAGCAATTATTTCTTCAAATACTCTTTATATCGCTTTTTCTCTGTCTTCTTCTGGTACCCCTGTATTGTGAATTTTGTTCCGTTTTGATTGGTCATGCAGTTCTCTTAGTATTCTTTCATTCCTAGAGATCCTTTTATCTCTCTCTGCCTCAGCTTCTCTGTGTTCCTGTTCTCTGATTTCTATTCCATTAATAGCCTCTTGCACCTTATCCAGTCTGCTCTTAAGTCCTTCCAGAGATTGTTTATTTCTGTATTCTCCCTCCTAAGTTGATCCTTTAGCTCTTGCATATTTCTCTGCCAGTCCATCAGCATCGTTATGACATTTATTTTGAATTCTTTTTCAGGAAGATTGGTTATATCTATCTCCCCAGACTCCCTCTCAGGGTTGTCTGGGTGATTCTCTACTGGCTCAGATTCTTCTGCCTTTTCATGGCTGTAGAGGTAGTCATGGGCAGTTGGCACATGTGTTAGCTGGGATAATAAAGTCCCTTCCTGCTTGCTGGTCCCCTTGTCCTCCTTGGAGTAGCTTCCAGTTTTATTTCCTGAGCTGCCGTGGGTGGTGCAGCCGTCGGGGCAGCCCAGAGCCCTGCAGGTAGGGGCTGGTGTGCCAGTTGTGCTCTCCTGCGAGAACGGCGTCCCTTGGCACCCTGTCTGGCTTCCTTTGTGCATGCCAGCGGGTACTCTGAGTCTGGCCTGGGCAGCTGTGGAGGAGGCTCTGGGCAGTTGCTGTGGGCACGGCCGCTCTCAGGCTGCTCCCCTGCTATGTTGGTGTTGCTCTGGAGGGGGAATGGATTGGAGGCTCTTTATTGCCGTGATGGGCTTCACAGTTGCGCTGCCTCCCAGTGGGCTGGAGCACCTGAATTTCCCCGGGATTCCCAGGTGCTGGGCTGAGTGTGCTGGGACACTTCCATCCAGCTGTGAGGCTCCTGTCCTTTTAAGAATTTCAAAAACACTCGCTTTTCTTTTGTCCTAGGAGCGCCGGCTGCGGGGATCCGCTCGCAGATTTTACTGTTCCATTTCTCTGATATCCAGCACACCACACAACATGTGTCTGCGCCCCTGGTGCGGATGACTAGGGCTGGGTATTTACGAGTGCTGGGCTCCCACTTCCTCCCCGCTCTGACTCCTCTCCTCCTGCCGGTGGGCTGGGGTGGGGGGAGTGCTTGGGTCCCGCCGGGCCGCGGCTTGTATCTTACCCCCTTTGTGAGGCACTGAGTTCTCGCAGATGTAGGTGTAGCCTGGCTGTTGTACTGTATCTTCTAGTCTTTATTTTAGGAATAGTTGTATTTGTTGTATTTTCAAAAATATGTATGGTTTTAGGGGATTTCCACTGCCCTACTCACCACCATCTTGGCTCCTCCTCTCCCTTTCCATTTTATGTGACTTAAATCACCAGTGAGAAACTTCCCAACCATCATGTCAAAGTGTTTATTCAGCCTGTTTTGTGTAGGCAGTCTTCTGGCTCAAACTACACATTTAAAAATCTTCACAACTAGCTTTTTTCCTCAGACATCCCCACATCATTAAGCATTACATTTTAATAAATGAAATGGTTACTAGAACTATTTTTTTGATTTAAAATATTATACACATTCAATATTTGGAAAATAAAAAGCATAAAAAAGAAAATGAATAAATACCTGTAATCCAATCACTCAGAAAAATGATTTAAAAACCATTTTTATGTATTTCCATCCTCTGTAAATTCTTTTTGTGGCTTTGTTTTCATGGTAGTGCTGACCTAAGATTTAGGAACTGTTCCCTACTCTTCTATTTCTTGGAGGAATTTGTGTTAATTCTTTTCTGTTCTGTAGTTTGAGCTCAGCTAGATTTTAATTAGTCTTAGAAAATACACTGAATGGAAATGTGCAAAAATACCAACTGTGATATCATCCTAGGGACACAGAAATGAGAATTAATTTCTTGGTATTCATTACTTGTTTCTGTTCTTTCAAAATTTTCTACCTGCAAGTATGTATTTTTGTAATCAGAAAAATATTAAAGTTTTAACTTGGAGAACAAGTCTATTTTTTTTTCCTTATATTTTTTAGACATTTGAAGACAGTGATCTGTTCCATTTGATTGGTGTTATCTGTGGATTAGCAATTTATAATTTTACTATTGTGGACCTCCATTTCCCTTTGGCTTTGTACAAGAAATTGCTGAAAAAGAAGCCATCCCTGGATGATTTGAAAGAACTAATGCCTGATGTTGGGAGGTTAGTTGTAAAAAGTGGCAAGGGTAGGGCTTAGGATATAGGAAATGGGAGATGTACAGAAAGATTTCATTTTGGGAATAATTGTATTTTGTTGTTCTTGTTGAATTTCTGAAATAAAAGCCCTTCTACTAAAGGAAAACCCATTGCATTATCAGATCCAAAATTTTCTACTTAAATGCATACATATGTAAGATTGTGTGCTAAATTTTTAGTAGCTTAATAATACCTTGCAAATGTCAGATTATAAATTTAGGAAGTTAGTGTTTCCTGACAGTAGTTAAATGATTTATTTTGACTTTTACTTCTAATCGTCTTCATTTTTAGCTGAAATATGTAAAGTTTCTTTTTATTTGGTATATAAAATGGAATAAGAGTTGTATTTAAATAGGGACCAATGTTGGAATTGAGTATACACATGGCCTTTGTATTCAAAGGAAGAGATTTAAAAAAAAGAATGTTTTTTTTCCTTCATTGTCTATAAGTTTGCCTTCATATATCCACCTTTCTGAAATAAGTATAAAAGTACAAATTAATAAAATAATTTTATTTAAAATGAATGAGTAATATAAAATAAGCAAAATAGTCCAAACACCCAGTAACGTTCTACCTCAAAGGAACATGTATATTGTTTTGCAGAAGCATGCAACAGTTACTGGATTATCCAGAAGATGATGTTGAGGAAGCATTTTGTCTTAATTTTACGGTAAGATGGAAAGATGTAGGATGGCCTGATTATTCATCATCCCTTTTATTTAACAGCTATGCCGTATGTTTTTATTTTGGTGTATGGAATTCTTAACCCTTTAGCTAACATTTATTGAGCATTAACTATATGCTAGTCACAGTACATGCACTGTTTCATTTAATCCTCATAACAATCCTATGTGATTGGTGTTATTATCCTTATTGTACAGATGAAGAAAACTGAAAACAATCATTACATACCAGAGATAATATTTTATGCCCAGCTTTGTGACTTCAAAGCCTAGTACTTTGTCACTTTGCTAAAGATCTTCACAAATACAAGGGATCCTGTTGTGGTTAGCATATTCACATAACAAATAAAAGGGATCCTCCTTTATTCAAGTGTTCATTTGTGAGTCTGCAGTTAAGAATGTTTAGAGAAGCAAAGGTTATTGTAATGTGAGAACATTTACTGATGAACTTAACCACTTAAAAGATTAATTCCCACTCAGACATCTCTTTCTACTTCATACTAATGTTCGTCCTTACCCATTTTGTCTTAGTTACTGTTGGATATACCACAATACAAACACAAATACATTGGGGTATTATTTGGAAAATGAAATTGCGAATCTTGTGAAAGATGTAGAATTTTGTCAATTCAGTGAAAGGGATGTTGAATAATTCATCAAGTCCATGCAAATCCTTTGATACCTGAGGATCTGGCAGAAGATGACCAATTGACAGTTAAAGAAGAGAAAAATCAAGGATTATGATAGGGCACTGAAGAAGGGAAGAGTTTGAATATTAAAAATTAGACTCAGGAAAATGGTAAAACCATCAGTATTTTTTCTTTCTCTTTCATCTTTTCTTTTAAAACCCTTTTTACATTTGTTTCGCCCCCAAACAGTCCTCTTTATGATCTTGTGTTCAAAGCTAATAAAACATACCATATTCTGCTGCAAAATGTGTGAAAAAAACAATGTCCTCCCTCAAAGAAGTTTATTCATTCTTTGATTATTTTAAGAATTGGCACATAGTGCAGTTATAAGAAAAGTTGGTAGATTTAAAATGAAAAATAATTTTTTTCGAGAAAAAAGCATTGGATTTTTGTGTTCACTGTGAAATATTGGTTCTCCTTTTCAGTTGAATGGGTGGTTCCCCAATGGTTTGTTTCCCTAATTCAGTTTCAGTTAATAACTTTGGATCTTTATTGATCATCTCAGTTGGTTGAAACATTGGGTTCCAAGCAATTTAATTTCTAATTGATCAATCAAGTTTTTGAAAGCTTAGTATATTAAAAAATGATGGTAAATCAAACATTCCTTCCCATTGCTGTTCCTTTTCTTTCCTAGAGATTTTCAGTGGGTCCTTATTGCTTGCAGAATAATAACTTTAGTGGGTGCTTATTGCTTGCAGAATAATAGCTTTAGAGTGGGCTTCAGAGACATCTGTAATCTGGCTTTCTGACTTCATTGTGTTTCTCTGGTCAAAGTTTGTCATGTCATACCTTATTTTCTTATTTTCTAGGGCCATATATTTTCAGAATTTGTATTTACTCATGTATCTATCCTGACTTTGTATCTATGTGCTCAGAAATCCCATTCCTTCCCAGTCTTTCAGAGTCCTATTCATCCTTGCAGTTGCTTTTCAAATGAGATTGTTTCCACAAGGCCTTTCACAATTCCTTCTATGGTCTGGTAGCTTTGTTCATGTCTCTATCATATATGTCATTTATTCTATTATTGTGAATTATTTATGTATCAAATCACATTTCTCCTTTTTTTATAAGATAGTGAACTCTAGAGCAGGGATATTTTCATCTTTTTACCTTGTCACGCCCTTCCCACCAGAGTGTTTTATAGATACTAAACACTCATATAAATACTAAAAACTCATATAAATAGAAAAGGGTAATATAATATAGGAAAGGTAATATTTATAGAAAAATTAGGAGACTAGTAAGGAAAATAAAGGTTCAAAATAACTGATTGTCTTTATAACCCAAATTAATGATATAACTGGAAAAAACATTTTCATCAAGAATGCAGCAAGGCAGATACAAGGAATACAAGAGGAGCAGCTGTCAAATGTGGGGAGAATGCATAGCTGGTCTAAGCTGAATTTATTCTGAACCCTTGGATTCTATCACTTGTCCAAGGAAGGCATCCTTTCTAATATTTCACTCCAATAGTGACCTTTCTAAAATTTGATGCACAATAAATACTCAGTTTCCTATTCTTAACTAACCAAACAATTGGTAATTTTTAATTAGTTAGTCAAGGTAGGATTTCAAACTTCTAAAGAGGATGAAAATTTCTAGTAGTAGCTTTGTGCAGAATTCACAAATCTGCTTATGATAGCAGAATTTTACCTTAAATTTACTCTTCTATTTAGTGAGCAAAATAATAGGTAGAATAATAGGTTATTAAAATAATCTAATAAGTATTGAGTCTGACATTGACCTTTTTTAAAAATTTAAATTAATAGATCACAGTTGAAAACTTTGGTGCAACAGAAGTGAAAGAGCTGATTCTAAATGGTGCAGACACAGCTGTTAACAAACAAAATCGGTAAGTGCATTATAGCAGCATCGTAGGTAGTAATATGGTTCAGTAGGCATTTTCTTCTGTATTTAAAAACATGTCACTACCTTAAATTTTTACTGAGATAAAACTTGTTTTTTGAATGCTTAGTAAGGAAGTAATCTTCCTTTTGCTCCTAAAATCCCTTTAAGTCATTAATGAAGAGATAAAAAGATCATAAACAACAAGAACAAAGAGAAAGGAGAGGAGACAATAGCAAACACATTTTTGGGAGCTAGAAAACTGGTAACCTAACTGTGGCCAACCAGAGAAAGCTGCTGCATAAGGTAGACTGGGAGGAGCCAAGAAGGCAATCAGTTCATTTTGCAGAACAAAGGCTCAGGCAATAAGAAAAATATGTTAGAAAGTATATGGGATTTAGGACAATGCTGAAAATTAAAAGATTGTTATAAGAAGCAGTTAGAAACCCATTTCCTTAGCACACCAGGAAGAGCCTGGCAACCTCCCCACTCCAGTCTGGGCGGAAAACTGGAAATTTACCTTCTGGGGAGATTGAAGTAAAGGAACTGTGAACTTGAGGAGAGTTAGGCATAGCCAGGGGAAAGGAGCTCAACTGAAAACAGGGAGATTAGTGAGAATCTGCAGCTCCTTCCTCCTTGACACTTTATCTTGGAGGATTCTTCTGGTGCAACTCCCGAATGTTTAAATGTGAATGATAGCCAAAGGTCAATAGACATGTAAGGAAAGACCAAAACAGTCCAAAGGAATGCCAAGGAAACAAAACAATGCAGGATGAACAACACAACTTGACTGAAATCAGTGTCCTCAAAATAGTAAGAGTAGCATTCATGTGGATACTATTAAAAATTGAAAAAAAAATTGTTGAATAAAATTTGTCAAAGAAATTATACCAAAAAAACTTCCCAGAATTCAATGACATGTTGTTTAAGACTAAAGCATGGGAGGTGAAAAAAAGACACATACCAAGGCAAAATACATAGAATCCTAAAATCCCAACAAAAAAACTTCCCAGAAAAAAGAAAAGCAGACTACATACAAAGAATTAAGAATCAGAATAACATCAGATTTTTAAAAAATGACACTGAAGCTAGAAGATCAAAATTCTGGGGAAAAGGGAATTTTTAGCTCCGGATTCTATATCAAAACTATTAAGTATGAGGGAGTGTAAAAACATTTTCATACATGAAGAGTCTGAGTTCAAGAAGTTTCTGAAGAATGTGTTCTACAAAACAAGCAATTAAACCAAGAAAGATCCAAAAAAAAAGGATCAAAAGGGTTCTTTCTGTGGAAGACCAAAGTGTAGAAGATTTAGAAAGAGTAACCAAACTGGGTTAAATAAAGATACATGGAGGGTTCCAGGAGAGTTGTCTCCAGGAGAAAAATGCAGCTGATGATACCTAATGTATTTGAGTGAATCTAGAGGAAATTGACATTTCTGTTAAAGTTGGGGATGAAATACCCAACTAAGGGATAGAAAGGTCTTTTTAAGGAAGGTAAACAGAATACTCTGTAGCTACTTGTGAATAACATTTATAACCCTAAAAATGTTAACAATCAGTGGTGAACCAAAAATTACTATAATGGGAGCATTGGGGGAGGTAAAGTGAGAGTGAGACAATTAAATACAAGGTAAATCCTCACCTTTCACAGTAGATACTCAGTTCATTAGACAGTATTTAAGATTGAAAATCAAGGGATGACAGACTATGTTGTTGAAGTTTGAAGGTAAATGAAAGTAAGAATAGCAGAAGGAGTCAAACAGTTGCCTTCAAATAGCAGGAAATTCGTGGTGGAAAGGTACAGGCAGGACAGAGAACTGTTTGTTCTCTTCTGTTGTAGTATTCTTTAGATAAAGTTAGCTTAATGGCTGTTGCCAGGACTTTATCTGAGTGATTAAAGCTAACTTTAATCCTGATTCTGCTACTTAGAAGCTGTGTAACTTTAGGTAAATTAGTCTGTGTCTTCATGCCTCAATCTCTTTTTCTGTAAAATGGGATGATAAATTGTACCTGTTTCTCTCAGAATTATTTTGAGGATTAAATGAGGCAATAATTTTAAGATGCTTAGATAGTACCTAGCACATGTACGTGCTCAGTAAATGTTGGCTGGTAGGATTACTATTTGACATTTTAAATTATGCATATGTCTTACTTTGATAAAAATTAAGCTGTATTTAAAATAATGTGAAAAAACTTGAGGTGTTGCCATTATTCTTTTTAAAAAGAAAAAAATCCTGGTTTTGAAGGCTTTGACTATGATTTAGAAAGATTTTTTTTCTGCTTTTAAAGTTTCTAGTGTTGGACTAATTTTTTAAACTTCTTAGAAATACTATTCCACATATTTTATTTAGTTTAGAAGCAATTTGAAGAGTTTTTATCTTTGTACTACCAGTCCTAGTTAGATAATGAAAGTGTTGAAGACAAAAATGTGTTAGCACATAAAACAGTTTATTTGCCTTTTGTAGTTATGGGACTTAACTATTATAGTTAAAATTGACTTTTTAATTAGATGAATTATAACGTTTTGCATTACAAAACTCATTCTTTTCATCAGAACCTAATAGCATATGCTACTGATTTTTTCCCTAGGCATACACCCAGTTTTATATTTTATACTAGTCTTGTTTAATTTTTTTTCTTTGTAAATTCAGTTTAGAATTATTTTCTAATTTGCTAAGATTATCTATAGATGACTAAATTTACCAGTATTCCCATTTGTAGAACTATCTTTTTTAATTCAAAAGACAATAGTGTAAAACATTGAAAGTCTGATTGTTTGATCAGATAGCTACCTGAAGTGTTGTGGCTAATAGAACAAATTGAATAAAATTATAGGACTAATTACTGGGTAAAATGATGTGCTTTTTTCCTTCAGTTTCCTTTTGTATCATAATAGATAGAAGAAAATCAAAATGTGTATACCTATATATCTATGCATATATATTTGAAAAGAAACTGCATCTAGTAATCTTTAATGATTATCCTAAAAGAATCCTTAATATCCCCCTTCTTGGGTATTTAGTTTTTAAAATTTTTGTTTGCAGATTCCTTGAAACTCAAAGCAAAACAGACTGTAATTCTATCAAACAGTCTAAATCCCAAAGCTCTCATTTTTCATCACCTAATATTTTTTAACAGGTCAGTCTTTTTAGAGATGAATGCAGAATGGTGCATATAAATTCTCAATATACTATTCGTGGATTTAAAAAATCAGTTTGATAGCCATTTGCATTATGATTATTCCCTTTAGGAAATGACATGTTTCACTTAGGAACAGCTTGAGAATGTCTGTGAATGATAGATTAAGTCTACATGCTTCATAGACATACCAGATATTTGTATAAAAGGTGTAATGAATTTCTCTATAAAGTCTTTGTCCCTTCTGAATCCTACTTACACTTTCTCAGTTTTGTATATAAGTAGCAAAAAGTACAGGAACACTCACAGTTTTATTAAGACTACGATATGTATTCTCCATAAAAGATGATTTTTATATTCTGTGCATGCATGCTCTCTCCTTTCTAGGCAGGAGTTTGTTGATGCTTATGTGGATTACATATTCAGTAAATCAGTGGCTTCCTTGTTTGATGCTTTTCATGCGGGCTTTCATAAGGTCTGTGGAGGAAAAGTCCTTCAGCTCTTTCAGCCTAATGAACTTCAAGCAATGGTTATTGGAAATACAAATTATGATTGGAAGGAACTGGAAAAGGTAAGAGAAAACAAATCTGTGATATTATTTAAATGGAAAGGTAAAAGGAAAATATGGCTTGTTGATGGAAATCTTGTCCTCTTATTTATTGTTTTCCATTTTATGCTATTACTGTCATTTTTCTTACAGCAAAACACTTGACAAGGATTGAATTTTAATTGTGTATAATTAGATAGCATGTTTATATTTGTGGTATTGGTGTGTTCATATAGAAAAATGTCATCTATGACGGAGGCTGGAAAGAAGCCCCAGCTGAAAACAGGTTTTCATTCTGCCTCAATCCTAGGAATACCATTAAGAAAAGTACAGTGCTCAAAATCTTTGTTATCTTTTTTCCTGATAGTCTCAATATTAATTCTTTTTTAGCAGAGAATAAGCAATAGTTAGGATCTTTATTACTGGTGCTTTAGCCAGTAAAGGGAACTTTAGGGAGAAGATAGGGAATTTTTTAAACCACTTTTTTCTTTTCCTCCTTCTCTATATAAGTAATTCCCAGATATTTCTTAAGATAAACATTTACTAAAAAGTGCTAGGTTGTATAAGCTTTGAGACAGGTCAGTTTATAGGGTTGACCTGTAAGTTTTTCCATGTTTGTAATTAGCAACCTCTAATAGAATCTTTGCCTTAATAGTTTGATACTATGTATACCTATTAAGTTAGCTAACAAAATAAGTACAGTACTAAATCTAACAAGGATATAAAGCATTGGGAACTCTCATGTATTGCTGGTGGGAATACAAATGGAATAGCCACTTGGGAAACAGTTTTGCATTTTTTTCTAAAGTTAAACATAGACTTGCTACATGCCCTTGCAATTCTACTCCTAGATAGTAAGTTACTTTCACACAAAAAATCAATTAACAGAGAGGGAATAAGGAGTTATTGTTTAATGGGTACAGAGTTTCAGTTTTGCAAGCTGAAAAGAGTTCTAGAGATAGATGGTGGTGATGGTTGTGCAACAGTTTGAATGTACTTAATGCCACTGAATTGTACACTTTAAAAAGGGTTAAGATGGTAAACTTTGTGTGTATTTTATCACAGTAAAATCTGCAAACAAGTCAATAACTAGAAGCAACCGGGATGTCCTTAAGCAGTTGAATGAATAAACCAGCGATGGTACATCCATATGGTAGAATACCACTGAGCAATAGGAATGTACTGCTGATACTGCAGCAGTTGGGGTGACTCTCAGAATCCTTATGCTGAGTGAAAGAAGCCAGTCTCAAAGGATTTCATACCATATGATGCCATTTATATGACACTCTTGAAAAGACAAAACTCTGGTGAACAGGGTCTAGGGATGGAGGGCGTATGTGACTGCAGAGGGGTATACCCGCACAGTAGAGTTCCTTAGGGTGATGAAACTGTTCAATATCCTGATTCTGGTGGTGACTACACAAACCTATACATGCGTTTAAACTCATATATCTATACACACACCAGGAAAAGTAAATTTTACTGTGCAATAATGTAGGGAGTAAGATATTTTTAATTAAAAAAATAATTAGGACTCCTGGTTAAACATAGTGGATGTAAACGTGTTTATCTCTGCTCCCTCCCAATATCTCACTAGAAGGACTAAAAGGAATAAAAATAGGAATACACAGACAATGAGAAAAAAGAAAACAGGAGAAAAAAAGCTTTGGAAAATAGCGGAATGACTTGATAAGTGACTAGACCAAAGAAAATTTAATTCTAAGTGTCCAGAAGGACAGGGTTATCAAGAGGCAACCCATTTCACACCCCAGAATCTCTGAAAGGCTCAGGAATTGGCACACCATCTTACTATATAATGCAGGGATTTGGAGTTGGGCTAAAAACAATAAAATTACTTCAGAGCTAATTTAAGGAATTGTTAAAACTCCTCACATCCCCTTTTCTCCCCATCAAGGCTTTAGAATCTGAGAAACCAGGTAGAACTGAGAATGGCATTCAGAAAAGTAGCAGTAGCCAGGCTTAAAGTCCTCCAGAAAGGAGATTGAAGATTTCTTTTTTGGGGGGTAAATTGGTCTGCTGAAGAGAAGAAATTTATACTGACTTTAAGGAGACCCCATTGGAAATGGACCCACCTCCAGTCACCCTAAAATGAAAATGATACAGTGGCCTCTCATCACACTTTTTAGATCTTACACAATTTGTCCTTCTTGCCTCATCTATCATTCTTACTCTCACTTACTCCAGTTAAGCCTTATTGGCATCTTTGCTGAGCATAGAACACAGCAGGAACACTCCAGTCTTGAGGCCTTTTTCTATTTGTTCTTCCCTGTGCTGGAATTCTCTTCACCTTAATAATTCCACATGGTTCTTGCTCTTGCTTTGTCTTTATACCTTCTCAGAATCTTCACTGGATATCCAAAATCATGTGTGTATACATGCGCGCACACACACACACACATGTGCACACCCTATCTCCCTTTCCTGCTTTATTTTTCTTCTCTAAATTTGACTTAATATAAACACAATTGTACTGTCTTTCCTCCCCTCCACTGCAGTATAAACACCACAAAGACAGGATTTTTGTCACTTTGTTCACTGCTGTATTCCCAGTGCCTAGAAGAGCATTTAGTAGGTCCTTAAAACTTTGTGTAAATATACAATTGATAGAAATACTCATTCAGAAAGACATTTTTTAAAGTCTTTTATTGTACCTATACTTAGTATACTTGGTTTCTTCTGTTTCATATCTGAGTTGTCATAATTTCAGTGATTATGACTTGCGACGCTGCATGCTCTTTCTTCATCAGAACTGTGTACTCATTTCCCCAAAACCATCTAGAGGTTTTAAAAAGAAAAAACGTCAGCCATATTCCTTTCATTACCACTACATGCTCACAGATTTTAATTCAAACAAGTGGATACATTAACTGAATGCTAGAATTTTAAGTCATTTTTCCCACACCTGTTTGCAAATTAATAGCAAATATTTTGTGGAGTTCAAGAGTTTGTTTATTGAGATAGTCATGTGTACAAATCGAGCCCAGATTCAAGAAGTCTATTAGCAAATACTGATTGAGCCTCTACTGGATGCCTAGTACTATGCAAAAAATTAGGAAGACAGCAGTAAATAAGACTGAGATACAGTGTTGGCCTCCTAATATGGAAGTTAGACTTTAAATAATTGAATGATGATGTGAGTAATCAAAGAGGAGAGAGTCTAATGAAGGGTATATAAGGAGAAATCTAAGGCTACACAAATATGGGGAAGCTTCTCATTAAATGGGACTTTTTTTTATGTTCATGTTGACATTTCATTCAAGTATATTGAAACATCATCTTTAAAATAGAAATAAATAACAAGTAAGGACTTTTGTTCAGTTCAATTTCCCCAGGGGCCCTAAATTTGTCTGAATCTCACTATATATTTGTTGAATGAATCAATGAAAGAATTAGGTGACATTTCATCTGAGCCCAAACGATAAATAGAAATTATCCTGATAAACAAAAAAGGAGCATATGTCTAAGTGGTCTAGGCTGTGGGAACAGTGCATACCCCCCTGATGGTAGAAGGTTCTTGTTGTCTGAGTACTTAAGGTCAAGGCCAACTGTAGCTGGTTTCTAAAGACAGTGTAGACTTAATTCCTTCTCTCTCCCCAACCCCTCTTTTCTCTTAGTGCTAATGTTTTTTAAAAAGGAAATATATTCTGCTGTTTTCACAAATTATCCCAAAACTTAGTGGCCTAAAAATAACTGAGTATTTATTGTCCTACACAGTTTCTGTGGGTCAGGAATTCAGCAGTGACTTAGCTGGGTGGTCTTAGCCCAGGGGTTTCTCATGAGGTTGCAGTCAAGATATTGCCCAGTACTTTAGTCATCTGAAGGCTTGATTAAGGATAGAGTTTCCTTCCAAGGTGGCTCACTCACAAGGCTGTTGATGGCCAAAGGCCTCAGTATCTCACGAGGACCGCTCCTTAGGGCTGTTAAGAGTGTCCTCATGAAATGGCAAATGGATCTCCCCATACCTCCCCACCAAGTGAGTATCAAAAAGAGGCTGAAGGTAGAGTTTTCTAAGGTCTAGCCTTAAAAGTCGCTAATTTTGCATATCCTCAATATCCTAATTATTACAGAGGTCAGGCCTCTTCTGTGTGGGAGGGGACTATACAAGGGTATGAGTAGCATGAGGCAGAGATCACTGCCATTTGGAAAATGACTACCACAACAATGATTAGTGTTCTTGTAGTACTCTTTAAAGAGAAAATAGAATGTAAAATAATTAGTTTGACTTCTGTTTATGAATTTAAGAAAATTTTTTAATTATCACAAATAATACCATGTCAAACTTTAATAACCCATTAACATTTTAGTAATTCTAGTTTATCCTTTAGGTATTTGCTTTTGAAGATACTACAATTCTGTCATGTTCTTTGAAATACTGGTGACACGTTTCTGATTTAATAAATATTTTCTTCCCTTTCCCCTGAAACTAATAGTTCCAAATTGCAAAACACTCAGAAAATAGTAGGTAATGAACTAAAAGTATTAGTTTCAAACTCCTTACAGTGTTAATGTTCGCTTTAGGTGCCAAAAAAGCCAATTTGTTAGATTCAAGACAAAGCTAAATCCCTTAATAATACCATGTTGTTTTTAGAATACAGAATACAAAGGAGAGTATTGGGCAGAACATCCTACAATAAAAATTTTTTGGGAAGTATTTCATGAATTACCACTGGAAAAGAAAAAACAATTTCTGTGTAAGTATGACTAGTTCCTTGTTTTATAAGAATGAAATCTAAAAATTTAGAGATTAATTTTAGTGACAAAAATATTTTTTCCTAGGTTGTTTTTAATTTTCAATTATTTTAAAAATCTGCATTATTACATGTGTTTTCTGTTTTGAAAACTAAATTCAGTTTGCCTCCAAAATACTATAGGTTCTTTCAAATGAAAAAAACTGTTTAACACCGATTACAGTAAACAAGGGTTGTAATTCCTTTCAGAATTTCTAAAAAGATCTCTGATGTAATAGCTCTTTTCTTTGTTCAGTCTTCATTTTCTTTTTCTCTGCTTTTGCACCAAAACTTTGGGAATTTCTGTACAAAACAGAACTTTTCCTTTCCAGGACCTAATGCTCTTATTTATAACCTAATCTCTGTGTGTCTTTCATCTGTTAAAATGTGTATTCTAATTGAAATTTTATTTAAAGTTTTCAGAATTTATCTATCTAAATCAATGAGATTCCTTTGATACGCCTGCTATTGCCAGGAATATTTTTGTCAATCTTTTTGATAATTAAAATGAGACTCTTGGTTAAGTTATTTTGCATAAGGATGACAAGTTATCCTAATGTGATTTATGATTGCCTATTATAAATTTTTGTTTAAAAATAACATAAGCAAATAGAAAAAGGAATCATAAAACATTTTGTATTTGATTTATAAACTATTTCTAAGTGGCTATTCCCAAAAGAACGGCTCCCCAAATGTTTTTGTCAGAAACAATAATCATTCATCAAACATTTATTAAGCATCTGTGTGCTAATGTTAATATTACAAATTTAAAGGAAAAAATCACTGTATGGATGTGTTAGTGTGAATCTCAAAAATGGTGCTTCCACAAATTCTAGAGACTTCTGCATTAAAGTCAATGTTAATGTAAAGCTTTGCTATAAAGACTGTACTAAAAATAACTTGACATTCTATATTGTTTTAATACATTTGTCTGAATGATTTTTTTTTTCTTGACAGTATTTTTGACAGGTAGTGATCGAATTCCTATTCTTGGTATGAAGAGTCTAAAACTAGTCATCCAGTCAACAGGAGGTGGTGAGGAGTATCTCCCAGTTTCTCATACCTGTTTTAATCTTCTGGATCTTCCAAAATACACAGAAAAAGAAACTCTACGCTCTAAACTGATCCAAGCTATTGATCACAACGAAGGCTTCAGTTTAATATAACTTTCAAGTTATAACTACTATTCAGTTTACTGCGAAAGCATTAAAGTGACAATTTGTGTTTTTCTTATGATGAATTCAGCAAGGTGACAGAGGTACTATTTTAATTCTTACTTGCAAAATGTTCAATGCTATGAATATTCACGAAAGCCAAAAATATTAAAGGAAAATGAACAAATTGTTAATATTAAACTTACTGTACAGAACCATGGATTTTTTTTGCCATCTTTGAATAAACGTACAAATATTGTGAATACACTGAAGTTTTACTGACATGACTTTTAAGAGTTTGCCTATTTCACAGATGATCTGGTGTGTGAGTGCATGGAAATGTTGCTTAATTTTTCTTCAATCACTGAGTGAAAAACCTTTACTTTTGGCCTGCAATAGTCATTCAATTATTTTTTCATTTTGTAAATAATGTTAAGTTTTGTAATAAAATAGTTATGTTCTGATACCAGCACAGTTTCTATGGTTGTTAATTGAATTGAGCTGATTTTTAAGGGTTAAAAATGATTTAAATCTTATTCAGAGAATCTATAAAAAATTAGCATGGTGAAAACACAATCTTAGCTTTTAGCTAGATAGTCATTCAATTATTTTTTCATTTTGTAAATAATGTTAAGTTTTGTAATAAAATAGTTATGTTCTGATACCAGCACAGTTTCTATGGTTGTTAATTGAATTGAGCTGATTTTTAAGGGTTAAAAATGATTTAAATCTTATTCAGAGAATCTATAAAAAATTAGCATGGTGAAAACACAATCTTAGCTTTTAGCTAGAATGTATGTCTTGTGGAAATCTAATTTGCAGGTAGGAGGTATCTAAATAACTTGTTAATCTTTTGTATTCTTGAGCTGCTACAGATGAATGGGAGATTACTAGAAAACTTAGTATTTAGTAATGGAAGAACTTTGTCATACAATTGCCAGAAATAGAAACTGGCTACTGTAAGAAACAATCACTGGGTTATAGCTTTAAAAAAACTGTTGAAGCTGAAAGTTGGTATTTAGTCAGAATTTGCAGTGCTTTAGAACCATTTACTTGAATTTTAAGAAACAAATCTTAACAATTTTATGGTGCTGGTGCTTAGTGATCACTAAATTTTAAGTGAGTTGATGCAGCACATGATTTTCTGCTCAAATGCAAGTATTTTTTAAATTTATTATTTAAAATGCCATGAAAACTGTTTAGGTAATATTTATTGGTTTAATATTTAAACTGTGTGGTTATCATGTAAGATCCAGAATTCTTCAAAAACAGTGTTTCAGGGAAGGTCTCTTAAATTTTGGATTGTTACCATTCCCATACTGATTTGCCTATTTTATAGAGGTCCCCAAGTCTATCTGTAATTCCAAAATCCAAAACAACTGTGAAAGAAATTTTGCATATCTCCTTTTGCAGCAAAACCTGATTTGAATTGTTGAGTCTATTTATGGTATTAAATGGAACTGTTTGCACATTGTACAGTGGTAATGTTAATGTGTTTGATTTCTTAACTTTGATCTAGGTGCTGCCTCAGACTGCTGTATGCTACATAATATGTGCTTTCAAAAAATCTTTAAACATTCATAATTCCAAAATGCTGATAAGCTTAAGGGCTTTGGAAAAGGGATTGTGGGCCTGTACTTTGCAGTAGTTTACTTAAAAACTTCTGGTGAGCCATAGGTATCTATAAGACTTTTACAGATAAAAGCCTTAAAACAGTATTCTCACTTAAGGTATTTTCCTCAAAGTAACATTCTTCCTCATGAGAGTTCTGTTACACTGTTTCCCTGTGCATCCATTCCTTGAGAGTAAGTGATTATTCATAACTGTATGTCAGATGCTTTTTTTTCTTTAGTAGCCTCTGTATGCTATGAAGCTGATCTGTGAATTAGCAGCTTTGGATTAACACAGATGGAATTCATTGAATATTATACAAGGACCTAGCATCTGGAGCACGCAGTACAAGGCTTAATTTGGGTAAGTCTGATACTCTTTATCCTCCCTGTTACTGCAGACATACAATAGCATTAACAGCAAGGAGATTCATGGTAGAAAATTAAATTACTATTGATTATTTTTTCAAATTGGAATTTGTTTTAAAAATAACAAAAGTATCTTGAGCTTTGTATATCAGAGTAGAAAGTAGGAAATACTGAGTTTACTAAATTTTAAGAACCATGATTATTGAATTGGCTAAACTTAAAAATATTTTAAGACCAATAATGTAATTGTAGCTCCTGTTTTAATTCAGTAGCAATTTTAACCAATAGCCTTGTTCAAACTGAGAAGACATTAGAACCAACATGCTTTAGAAAATTGCATGAAATAAAACCAGAACAGTTTTTTAAAACTGAGAAACCTAAAGTAAGAGGACACTCATTTGGGTCCATTCATTAATTTCTAACAGATTTTTGGCCTTCCTTATAGGTGACTAACTCCATTTAGTTTAACAGAAAAGTCTTAAGGTGCAATGTGCATAGGTCTTCCCCTCAAGAGTTAGCAGTAAAAAAGCTCTCTGAAAGCAAGGGCAAATGTTCCTATTCTCCGCCTCTTCACCACTCGCCAGCCTCTTTTGCACTTTGGCCATTTGGACTTGTAATGGGAATTTTGTCGTTTTTGCTAGAATTCACCCTTTCTCAGTAGGCCCCCACCCATGCGAGCTACTTTTGAGTCACCTGATGGTACTTTCTATAATACTATGCACAAGCCCCACCTTAGGCCAGTTAAATGTTACCTCAGAGAGGTGATGTTCAGATTATAGTTTCCCAGGTGGTTTTTAAAAGTACCAATTGAGAGCCCCTTAGAAGGGAGAGAGGTTATTAGACCATTTTCTCTGTATTTCTGCTAGCATCCTAGCTTGTGTTTTAAGGCTTAGGCTTTGTTCATTCCATAGGGAGATATTCTGATGTGCACATGTGTGCATGCACACTCTCCTAAATTACAAGTCTAGCAGCTGAGATTTAAGATACAACTTATCAAATAATGCTTAGTAGGTGGATGATGTAAAACATCAGTTGAAGGTACCCTGTTACGTGCCACCAATAACAGTGCTAATTAAACCATCATCTGCCATTAGTTTGGTTATTTCCGTTAGTGAAATATATGCTGTATTAATCAAGGGTAGTGGGAATAATATTGAATATAATTAGCTCTAGTAAAAAAACAGCCTGACTAAAGTGACTACATACCTCCTAAGGTGTTAATTAACTACCTGCTTTTCCATTTTGTGCATATTTGAAGTCACTTTTTCTTATTTTTGTAAGATAATGAGGAAAAGGGTGTACAGGTAATTTTTGTAAGATTGATTATTTTTTAAATTCATTACAAGAGTTTGCTGTGGAGGAAGGCAGGATAGCTGAGAGCAAGAAACTGCCAGTCAAGGTTTTATACATTATGTACACCTTGTAAAGGGCATGTTCCTGGCTTCCTGTCCATGACAAAAATAGTTTTCCAGGTCAGGACACCCTCAAAAAGTTCATACCAAATGTGGTCTGCAGTCTTTTTTTGACTCCAAGTGTTAAAAGACTTGCAAGATCTAGCACCAGGAGACCAAAATTCCACAGAGATAACCTGGCTTTTATAGCCTGTGAGCTCTTGAGTTCACTATTATTTCCACTGTTCCCTGATGCACCCCTAATCCCAAAGTCCTAGTTCCTTTGTGAAGTTCTTATTAATAGATAAAAAAGGGGAAAAGGCTTGGGCCTAAGGCCCCTGGTTTAGAATGGCTGAAATACTAGTAGTTTTGGAACTTTTAGTGATGAGCAATTCCTACAACCAGCACTATCAATATTTGCTTAACTACCATTAGATTAGACTTAAAAGCATCAAATATTCAAAGCTGCAAAAATTCTTCAAGATTTTAAAATTTCATACCTTGAACAATATAACTTAACAGAAAAAAATCAAATGACAGTTTTAATAGACTTTAAAACAGTGTACGAGTATAAAACACTGGTTTTTTTGTATTTCAAAATTGGAGGAAGATACCAGTCATTAAACAGTCTACAAAACATATGCCAGTAGATTACATAAAAGACTATATACAATATAAAAAGAGCTGAAAACAGTCTTCACTGTAAAAATAATTTAAAACAAATTTTTCAATTTAAAATATCTATAGCACAAACACACATCATGCAAATGGACAACTAAATATACTGCATCCTTCAGTGTAGCCAAATAAATTCAGATTGATGACTTTTACATAGGGAAATGGCCATTTGATAAAATTTTTTCTCTCGCAGTAATTGTCCTAGCTGGGTATCTTAAAGAACAGCTGTATTTCAAACCCTTTTTTAAAAGTTGTAATAAATATTAAAGCAACATAGGAATACTTTGTGATTTGGGGAAAGTATTTCTGCAGCTGAGATAAAGTTGATGTGTAATTTTAAGGCAGGCTAAACTTTTAAATAGAAGACGTAACAGGAACTAGTTTCACTATTTTGCTGTTAGAAATTACATGTTCACCTCCATAATACTAGTCTAGCAGTTTGGTGTTTATTATACCAAATCCTCCAACAGGAGACAGGTTGAGTTATAATTAACATCTATTACTTTGAAACTGTCATCAGGAGCCTGTTGCTCTCATTAATGGAAAACAAAAGCAACAGTCCAAAATATTACACTCCCCCCAGTGGAAGTACCATTATTAGAGATTCATAAAGGCTTTGCATATTCACATCTTGGCAGTTTAATACTTCTGGAAAAGGATAAATGCAAGCTCTACCACAGTGATAGGTATTTAAACAAGAATGGAAAATATTCTTGAAAATAAGGGGAACTAGGCAGGCACTACTGTTTCTAAAGCAATAAAAATATTTCTAAACTATTTATTTGTTTTCCAGGTTAGTTTTAGGAGCCAATATAGACATTACTACATGTCCACAGGAAGTACAAAACCATTTTTGTTTGAACAATACAATATTCCTGAAACTCTTAGCACCAAGTCTTACTTTTAAAAGCAAAGACAACTGAGTGCTCTCCCACATATTGGTGACTTCTACTCACATTGCAAGTCATGAGATTTTTAAAAAGTTAGCTGCCACAAGTTTTGGAAAATGCCAGTGTTTAAAAATAGGTAATTGTGCTAATAAAGAACCAAAAGTTTAGCAGACAGATTTGAGGATTTCAAACCATTCAATGTTACAAAGAAAAGCATGAACATACCATTCTTTGGTCTAGATAAGCTGTTCCCTTTACATTAACTTAACATTCCAATGGCTTTTTGAAAATTTTAAATGTTGAAACTCACTAGGCAAAAACAAAATTATATATACATATGGATGTACCATACAAATGAAAAAGTCCTGACCAACAACTGACTAAAAGATACTTAGTACCTTTCCTTTAAAAAAAAAAAGTTAGTGTTGTGTACAAGTACAGAAATAAGCAAGTTAAAAATTACTCATAGGAAGAAAAGTCTATTTTTACCAGTCTATAAATATTACACCTTTCTGGTTTTCTTGCTCTACT